TGACGATGAGCGAACAATGGATAACAGTGGTGAAGATATAAAGTAAATTGGGTATGTATGTGTACTCTAGAGTATATTTTGTGATCTTTACCTACATTTTCTTCGCGTAATATTAGAAAAAAAAACATCTATCGTACTATGGTGGTTGTAATAACCACTGTTCCTCTGGGCGATGGATGAAACAGACTTCAATGCAAAATTATACTTTTAACATCAGCGTCAAACATAATAACAAAAGCATAACTTAATATAGCCATTTTCCATTAGAAGGGAAAACAATGCGCATAGCTCATTTAAACGTTAAAGAATGCATTTTTTTACATCCGACAGCCATATTCAGATTATTTTTTTTAAACATGTTTAAACATTAAATGTTAATTTGAGATTAATAATTCAATTAATTTCTATTATATAATAAATTCAGATTTTATTCAAATATATGCTATACTTCATCGATGATAGAAAACAGTTGCATATAAAACTCTTAAAATATGCTATACGGTTTATTGCCTATGTCTTTTTGAGCATTATACTCAATTCACCTTGAACTTTCGTAACACATTTTTGGCAGCAAACTAAAGGTCTTTATATATATATATATATATATATTCTTGTTATACATTGAAAAACAATGATATATAAAAAAGGAAACAGAGATGAAAAACTTACGTTAATATGAATATAAAACAGGTTTATAGAAAAAAGCGGAGAATATACCCTTTTATACTAAGGTTATTGGACGATTTGTTTGTCATTTATAGTATATTCATTAATATAGTATTCACTTGAATATATATTATTATTTCACTTATAAATATTGTGATTTCTTATATTTGAATACAGAAGTAAATACTTATTCTTTGATTACAAAAACTATCGCAAACCACACTTGACTTAAATTTTGATAAGCATCTAGTGTTAATCAAAACATTTACAATTATAGTCGTTCGTAGTAAATATGAAATATTTTTATTTATGGAAATGGTAGCGCTCCAAAAAATAATATTTTTGGGTGGTTCGGCACAAACGATAATAAATTTTAAGGAAGGGATTCGGGATTCGTTATAAAGACCAAAGTAAGTTTTTATATTTTTAATAATGTTCGAAAAAGCACAACAGAACTTATAAAAATCTTAAATAATACTGTTTTGTAAATTCCTTAGAATGTTAGTGTACACAGAAGGGTAAAACATATGCACATTATAGTGGAATATTTCACTCACGAAATATTGTGTATACATTGTAAAATATAATTCAATTTCCATAAACAAAAAATGTCCATAAAAAAACAATGTCATGTAGGTAAATATTATAATGAAGTGTTTCAAACATCACACAATCAAAAAGAAATATGTGTGTGTCCATACAATGTGGAATATCTTAAGAGATAAACTGTGAAGTTTTCATTTTGTAAAATAAAATTCATCCATTCGGTATGTCCAATCCGAGAAATATTCACTTGGGTCATGGCGTTAGTATTTTTTTCGCAGCTGTAGAATAAAAAACAGTGATAAGAGGTTTATTTCTTGTTATAACAATCAATATATCACCATACACTTCTAATTAATTAAATAGGTTGTTCTTATTGATTAAATCTTTCACTGAAAAATATGAAGAAACCGAGGTGTAGATAAAGGAAATCTGTGCTTTTAATCAGTACGAAGTTGAATCGGTATCAAATTCAATTTCGTACTGATTAAAAGCAGTATATGTTGAATTCAGTGCTTTGGTTTTAGATTTTGCTTAAGGGTAAAAATATTATGATTTCAAAAATATACAAATATATACCTTGTATATATGACACTTACCTAATTATTACAAAAAAATCACATGTTACAGTATAGGTACCATTTTACAAAATATTATATACATAGCACATGTTTTGTTTAATAATTGTTCAAAATCGTTTCTTGAAATTTGATGTATAAGGAAGCACGTAAAGCAATTACACTTCTAACACGAAATATTACAACGACATTTTGTTCTTACCAATATCATATGTGCTTTTATTTGCAAATAAAAATACGTGAAATTGTTTTCTCTTTGTCAAACATGTTTTATTAGTTTCTAAATAAAGAGCAAAATTTTTACAACTAAAACCTCTTACATTAATAAAATACATTGTGTTACCAAGCTTAATTTAAACCGAAAACAGACACTAATTTCAAGAAATCAAGAAGAAACTCCAATCTATGACATAATTATTATAGAAATGCTGCTACCAGTACAAGATTTTGAAAATAACGAATGCGTTGTAACATATATTTTAACTTATAGCCATTCACAAAAATAGTTTATACAATCCAGAAACTCAAGGACTTTTTTTATATTTAAGAAACAGTAACAATGCTGCGACTCAAAACATATTTGGATACTTATGATGATGAACCTATTGACAACATCAAAAGTCGAGTGGCATTTCAACTCAAACTATCCACTCGAAACAATTTCATAATAGACTCAAATACTATGTACATCCATACTTACTTCTGAAAGTATCTGCTAGCCAAGCAATCAATGTCATGTAGGTAAATATTATAATGAAGGGTTTCAAACCCCACACAATCAAAAAGAAATTTGTGTGTACGTACAATGTGGATACAATTTTGAAATATATCTAGTTGTGTATTTGATAATTATGATTAACAGGAGGGTATAAACTTTCGTATTTGCATCCATTCGCTTTTCTTATCCTTTTTGGTTGGGACTTTTTCATAAATATGAAATGGAAATGTGTACATTTTAAATAAACCCCGGTGAATAATAACATGCAATTTATTAAGATTGTTGAAGATAATTTTAATAACAAAATATCCTCCAAAATATGAATATGATAAAAAAGAATATGGTATAACATACATGTGCTTAACCTTTAAAGTAATTATCTAAAAAAACATACTTCGTTAATTATCTGATGTCTCCTAAAATGTTGTTATTTTTATAAAAAAATCAGTTTTTGACAAATAGGTCATAACAAATTCCATCTCATTATGGAAAAATATTTAATATTTCAAGTAAAATTAACTAAAACATTTCGTCGGCAGGGGGTGTGCTAATTATCTAACCACCACAGTATATTTAATTATATAATTATAATACTGCAGTAACACAATTAGTCGAAACTGAACGCGGCTTCAACTCTTTTGTTGTCATACAAAAAAGAAAAAAATCGAGAACATTAACAAAATTCATGTGGAGCTTATTGTTTGCTATTGTAAATAAAAATATTAATTTCTAAAAATATTTTCAATGAAAAAGATGATGACGCACAAAAAAAATCAACATAACGTTGTTGAGGTAGGTTAGTTAAGTTAGAACACGATTGATATTCAAAAAATATTTCAAATCAGCAATGTACATATTATAAGTCTTATTGTATTATAAAAATGCAGTCGACGGGAAAAAATCATAATATAGCCCCTTATATAACAGATCTGTATACACTTTACATCAAAAAAAAAATCTTATTTGATTAAGAATGCACTCGATGGAATAAACCATTATATAACATATATGTATACCCTTTAGACCAAGAGACTCATAATATAATAAAAAAGTGGACATTAATGCTTAATAATCATGTTATCACATCCGTCAAAAAATGATTAATGTGTTAAAAAAAAAAAAAAAACAAAATATGACAGGTAATTCAGAATCATAACTAATTATTTTCAATCAATAAAAGAAAATGACGAATAATATTTATTGTGACCACAAGCAAATAGTTAATTAAAAATAAAAGGTTGAAAAAGAACATAAAAAAATCTTTATGAAAAATAAATTAAAAATTATTTTATTTCTTTTAATTATTAGCTTCATATGCTATATATACAATTTCTATTTAAAGCAAAAATCACACTGTGCGACACGAAAATTTTTCAGGGGTTCTAACGTACCAAATCTGTATAGTTGGAGTCTCTGGACCACGAAAATACATTTGGTTTTTTTGGGTCACTTCGAAAATTAATTTTATAACGGTAAATATAGAGAAAAACGTGGTTTCATGGATTTTCAATTTAAAACTCGAATAACTTATGTACTTTTTAACAGATTTATATTATTCTTTTTTTCTTTCGAAGAGTAAAATTTTTCCTTTCAAACAAGATATATATTTGGTAAATCGGTTGAGGATTAGCTGAGTTACAGCGGTTGAAATGTGAAAAAATACGCATAAAATGACAAAATTTATTTTTTTTTTCGGACTGTACGATGAAATTATGATATCAAGCCATATAAGATTTATTATATTACGGGGAAGAAAATAAAATTAGCTTTCGAAAATGATAAAAATCAAAAAAACGGTTAAAAAATGGATGACTTATACACATTTTTGTATTGATTCTATGAATATTATCTAAAGGAACTATAGGTCTACCTCGTTTCCTTTTGCCTGTTGCAAACATAACGGTTTCTAACAGGAAACGATACAGACCCATATTTCCTTTAGATAATATGCATAGATTCAATACAAAAATGTGTATAAGTCATCCATTTTTTAACCGATTTTTTTGATTTTTATCATTTTCAAAAGCTAATTTAATTTTTTTCCCCGTAATAACGAAAACTTGTATGGCTTGATATCATAATTTCATCGTACAGTCCGAAGAAAAATAAATTTTGTTATTTTATGCGTATTTTTTCACATTTCAACCGCTGTAACTCAGTCAATCCTCAACCGATTTACCAAATATATATCTTGTTTGAAAGGAAAAATTTTACTCTTCGAAAGAAAAAAAGAATAACATAAATCTGTTAAAAAGTAAATAAGTTATTCGAGTTTTAAATTGAAAATCCATGAAACCAGGTTTTTCTCTATATTTACCGCTATAAAATTAATTTTCGAAGTGACCCAAAAAAACCAAATGTATTTTCGTGGTCCAGAGACTCCAACTAAACAGAATTGGTACATTACAACCCCTGAAAAAAAAATTTTGTTATTTTGTAGCACAGTGTAATTATTGGATACATATTTTGGGCTTTTACTAAATTTATTGCAATAGATTTTTAACATTCTATTTTTTCCCTTATTTTTGTATAATTTCAGTTTAAACATACACATTATACTGCTGGTTCGCGACCCAAGAGGAACAATGCAATCAAGGCGTCATCGGACATGGTGCTACAATAATCCAGATTGTGATCAACCACAAATTCTATGCAAAGATCTCGAAGACGATTATCATGCTGCTGAAGTACTATTAAAAAAATACCCTACAAGATTCAGGTAAATCTACATTAAATTCAAATCAAAATTCCGATGTTATTTACTATATCTAAATAAAATTTATATAGGACCATAAGATACGAAGATCTATCATTGGACCCATATGAAATGAGCCAAGAGTTGCTGCAGTTTTATGGCCTGCCTTTTGATCCGTTGGTTGAAGAATTTCTAGATACGCACACTAAAGTTAATATTGGCGGCGTTAGTTCCACATTTCGTGATTCGAAATCGGCACCATTCCATTGGCTGCAAGACTTAACCCAAGATGATGTAAGCATATATCAAATACATATTCAAATTGTATGTAACGACTTCGTTTATTTTTTTCAGATTAAACACATACAAAATTCATGCACAACAGCAATGGATCTGTGGGGCTATCGACGTATAAGCAATTTTACCGACTATGCACGGAATTTCGACCCCATTATATTGCCGCCTCCATTTACGTGAAATATCATAAACGTTGACAACGCAAAGAAATTAAATTTCTTAGTTTCATAAAAAAAGATATTTACACATTGCTTCACCCAAAATCTTTTTTATTCGTTTGGCTATCTAAAACAATTCTGCTTGTGTTATAAACATATAAATAGCTCTATTTAAACAAACGGAGCATTATCAAATAAACACCACGCTCATTTATTTATATACACAATGTGGTATATGACACGATTCCTAGAATGTAAGTGATGCTATAATTATATTATGGCGTACAATTTTGATCAAAAGAACAAAAACGATTTTATCAATATTAAACATGCTGAAATGTTAATAACAATTATTATGTGCAATGCGAAAAATTGTTTAGAGTTAAGTAGAATATAAGACCTCTCGATATTAGTGTACATTGTAGTATAACGTTAAAATCAATTTTACCTATACACATAAGCTTAATTTAGATAATTTTAAATATGTATAACTAAGCAGAACTAATACGTATTTTACACTGCAAAAAATATTTATATTTATTTAAGGCTGTCTTCACATTAGAATTTATATGTACATATGTGTTTCATATCACGAATGCGAAAAAATATTTTTTTTGTAATTCAATATCCAAGCCCAGAATACATACATTTGGGTTAATGTTCCACTTTTGCAATATTAATATTACTCTAAATACACAATTACATATTTAATTTTTACAAATGACAAATTGTTATGTAGTTAAACCGCTGTGCTTATTTGCGGAAAAATAAAAAAACATGTTTCAATTTTAAATTCGTAATAAAATTGAAACATTCAAGCGAAAGCAATAGCAACCACCAATCAATTTCTATAGAAATAATAAAATATTTTTTTGGAGATCAAGTGTTTTATTTTGACTTGTGCGATAGGTCCCTTTAAAATGTAAATTCACTGAGGTATTGTGAATGGTTTTGGGTTTGTGTATAGAATATCGGTGTCTGTACTAATTTAATATACGGCCTAGAAGTATGCTTTATTTTTTTCGGAATAAAAACCGACCGAGATAACTTTAAAGAAAAATGTAAAGCATACTCGCCGGCGCATGAAATTGTCGTTCGCCTGTGACCGATTCTGTTTGCCTGGTATCTCGGCTGGAATTTTTAACAATTTTGAACGCTGCAGAGGCGCGCGCGCACGCACACACACACTCATGAAAAACAAAGAAAACAGCGACCGCTCTTGCAGATTAAGACAATTTTTTGTTTTGTGGCATATTTCATGTTTTATTTCATTTCATATACAATTTTAAAACATTTCTAATTTACAAAAATATACAAGTTTTCAATAAAAATATTGCGAACCATATACATATCTTCTTTTAGTCAAATACGTACAATATCATAAAAAATATCTTAAAACAGTATAAACAAATTTGGATATTATAGATTTTACATTATACATGTTTATAGATTAGTTACAGATTCGGTTCTTGAAACTGGCATATACTCCTTGGACTCTTTACAAATTGAAAGGTTTGTTGGCTTAATGAGAGCGTTGTTGTTTTTTCAGTATCCAATTCCACATTATTTAGTATAGTTGGGGTAGTGAGAATTTCATCAGGCACAGGAGACCCATTGCAGGATAACACATTTTGTGAAGATGAATGAATTCCGTCCTGCGGTATTGAATGGTCTTCGTGTTGTTGAGAACTCGATTTGTTGGGGCTGCATTGCGTTTTTAAATTATACAAAATTTCGGATGACTCCAATCTCGGTTTCTTTCCAAACGCGAAACATCCACTAAATTTTGTAACGACAGGTGTTAAATTGTCAGCTGCTTTGGTTCTAAAATAAAAAAAAAACAGGATTAATAAAACATAGTCTGCATTTTATGTAAATATTTGGTTTTCGGGAGGTTAGTAGTCGTTACAGATATTATGCTTTTGTTAATCTTGGAGCTATATAATATTACGAGGTAGTATATATCTTACGCAATAGTCTGGAACAACAACGATGAGACCGAGAATAACAAAAGTATAATTTTAAAACATTTGTAAGAATATCAAGTTGTGACACATTGCCAACATCCGCTGCCAGAAGCCATATAATTATTATTTATACATACTTACACTGCTTTCAATGTTTCTAATTTTGGAATATTTTTTGTATGCGACTTATTTCCGGATGCCTCTAATGCGGCCAATTGATCGGGATGCAGTTTTTTCATATGACTGCGACAATTTGATCCATTTGCAAACGTGCGATCACAAAATTCACAAGCGTATGGCTTCAAACCTGTAAATGAGACGGAAGTTATTAAATGGTTTGTGTTTTTGTTATAAAATGTCCTACCCGTGTGCAGTAGTAAATGATTTTTAAGAGCTTTTGCTCGCTTGAACGCCCTGCCGCAATAGTCACAATTATGTTTCATTTCATCGGAATGTACCAAATAATGTCGATTAAGGGTAGCTCTCGAATTCAGTTGAAGTCCACATTGGGAACATACATGCTTATTAGGACTGTGGGTATCCATGTGAATCTGAAATAATTTTTATTTAAAATATCTAGAATACATGCCATGTTAACTCACCTTTAGACGGTAACTGTTTTTGAACTTCTTTTGGCATACATCACATTCGAAGGGTTTTATGTCTGAATGTATGATCATTTGGTGTTGTCTCAAGTTCGAATAGGTTCTCAAACTTAGACCGCATACTTCACATACGAATGGTTTATCATTTGTGTGTTTGTGGTGCATGTGTGCTTCCAATTGAGCTTTGGATGTAAATCTAGATGCACATAATGTACATTGTTTCGTTTTACGCTCCTCCACAGGTATGTGGGTACGCATATGACGTTCAAAATTGTAATCTGATTGAAGTTTCCTCTCACATAAGGGACACTCCCAGTGTTTTTTATCAGTGAATCCGTGGTTTTGTCGCATATGCTCAACGCATGAGGAATACAAATTCAGAAGTTCGCCACATATTTTACATTCACCATTCAATTGAAAGTCGGTGTAAACCTGTGGAGTTCCCCTTCTTGCTTTTTGTAGCCTTGCAGTTTTTCGCTTGGTCTTTTTCGTTTTTTTATTACACATGTGTACATAACGGTATTCTTCCTCCGGTTTTGAATTTGCCTCGCCATTTGGAGCATCATTACTTCGATCATCAAATGGATCTATAACTTCGTCTGTATCATAGCTGCAAGTGACACCGCAATGACCCCCAATATCTCCAATATTTTGTTCATCTACTAATTTATATGAAGCTTCACCGGAACATTTCTCTAACATATTTTGATCACTGCTGATGTCGCCGCCGTCTGTCCCATTAACGGCATCTATGAAATTCTGATTATCCTTAAAGGTACTTGTTTTCGAATTACGACGATTTCTATCATATTCATATATATGGAAACGGACACGAATGGACTCAAAATCGTAATATTCGTTGGGATTTTCCGATAAAAATGTGTACATCTCCTGCACCCTCTGGACGTGCTTACTGAATTTCATTGTAGATGTAACTAAAGTCAGACAATCAGAACATAAACAATTCGGCAAACCACCGTTGTTCGACGTGCGTACCAAAAAATATCTCGCCAAGGCGTCATTTATTTCGGTTGTGGGGATGCTGTTATCTGCGCCTTCTTTAGCGCACAACCGACACCACGTATGCCAAAATGCAGTATAGGAAGAGTCCATGACCATCAATTTACCAACTTATCGCTTTAAAATCACATTTTCTATGAAAAAATACACTTTTAACAGAAATAATGTCGTATGCACTTTACTCAATTTTGCGGCCGCTTTCGCCATGTTGTTATTTTTTGCAGAGATCAGCTGTTTGCTGTCAAAATGTATTATTGTGACTACGATATGATTCACAATATGAAACTTGAAGTAAATGCTTATGCAATCAGCATTAAACAAGGTTGCAAGAAATGAATAGATGAAGAAGTTTGCAATTGTTTTCCTATTTTATTGTCGTTGGTATCTGTCCATGGGAGAAAGTTTTTAATCCATGGCCAAAGGCAGGCTACCCAAAACATGACATTCAATCTCGTAGCCGATATTGGTGTCTGTCCATATGAGAAAGTATTAAATCCAGGGTAGAAGACCGACCACAAAAAAAGCTATTCTATTTAAAAGGAAATCTGTCGCGTAGCCGGCGTTGGTATCTGTCCCCCAAGAAAACAATATATGAGGATTTGATATTTATAATATTTTTTATTTCCCTATTTTTTTTATATTTATGTTTTATTATTAGTTATTATGACATTATGTCATTTTTAACACTATTTTTGGCCTTGGAGGCTTTTGTATTATTGAATGGAATAAATAAATAAATGCGTCAGTGCACATATCGGTTAAGTTTAGAAATCCGCTGATATATGTTAAAATTTCTATATAACGTAGTTTGTACAATGGCGACAATTTTTATTATTATTCAGAAAAGTTATTATAAGTATAAAAAGTTGTGACTGTACCAAGAACTTTGATTTGTTTTAATATTTTTCAAAAACAGAGTTAACCTATGTGCACCGAGCGACTCATTTAATGAGAACAGTTGCAACTTTTAGTATTTGTTGGCACAAAAACATGATTGTATAGCATAGAATGGGCTGGATTCGTCATTAATTTTTGTATGGTAATAGTACGTTTATATTTAACCGGATTAAATTTTTGTCAATTCCTTTGCATATACGTCAAATAAATCCTCATAAAGTAGGTTAACCCGGTAAAAAGTTCTAATGTACAAGGAGTTTAACTGACGCAAAATTGTGCCGGTTTTAGAAAATAAATGACGCAATAGCCCTAAATCCTATATTTTCTGTTGTATGTAAATATGCATTAATGAGTAATTATTACTGGAAAAGTACGCAGACAAACCTAGTGACATATAATTTAAAAAAAAGACGGTTTCAAACATTTTTGCGCAATTTCATTTAGAAGTTGTTAATAAATATTTTGCAACAACATCTTTAATTTTTTTCTATTTATAGTTTGTTTCGAATTTGTGACTTGTTTCAGATTAGAACAATATTTTTGACAGTTAATCGCACCAACACATGTTTTGATTCGGCTACCTTATTTATTGAAGCATATTCGTGTTATCATTGAAAAGTGATTAGCACCACATATTTATCTTTTTATTTTTATTCCGTATTTTGTAGAGTTGGGCAATCTAGTTCACGTAGCGGATCGATCATTCTCGTTTCTTTTTTAAAAAGGAACTAGTTCCTTAATGTAGTTCCTTTGAACTATGTAATTACTTCATAATTAAGAGTCGAATCACGAATGAGAGAGGGAACAACGCTCGTCTGTACATGGCATTAGACTTTTCAATACAAAAAGTCGATTAATCGAAAGTCGATTTACTTATCCCTAATCATAATTTGCCTAAACCTCATTCGTAAACAACACGGTTTCCATTTAATCTCTATCCCACCTCATTCGTAAACTTTCGGTTATACCATTTTGAGTTCATCTTTATCGGCCATTTTGTCTTCTCCTCCCATTCGTTAGCAGGTGGAACGTTTTTCAATTTTTTCAGTCGTCGTTTTTATTTTAGCTCCGTTCCAAAACCTAAAAGAATCTACTAATTTTACAAGTTTTGCAACTTTTTACTCGAAAACCGTTCCTGAACCCATAAAACTGGTAAAGCATTGAATCAAATTTAAGAGAGCACAAAACAAAATGGCTTTCTCTTTGTAAACTTTTTGTTATGTTGATTTTGAAGTATTGCCATCTAATTTTGGCATATTTACTAGATTTGCGTTCCGAACTTTTCAAATTATTTTGTACTCTGAGACTTGAAATGTTTCCCTTTTACTAGCTTTACTATTAAACAAGTGAAAAAGCGTGGATACCCTCCACCACAGGTATACTGACAGGTATTTGAAATGAAAAAGTGGACCGATATTTATAATTTTAAATAGAGATATTTGGTACCCAATATGAACCCACTGTACCAAATTTCAGCGAATTCGGTTGAAAATCGCGCTTAAGAACCTCAAAATACCGAAAATTTGGGGTGCCCTTATATGGGGGCTACCAGAAAAAGTGGGCCGATATTTATAATTTTAAATAGAGATATTTGGTACCCAATATGAACCCACTGTACCAAAATTGCAGCGAATTCGGTTGAAAAGCGCGCTCAAGAATCCCAAAATACCGAAATTGGGGGGTACCCTTATATGGGGGATATCCGAAAAAATTGACCTATATTTAAATTTTTTTGTGGAGAGATTTGGTACCTGCTAAGAACTCAAAATACTAAATTACAGCCAATTCGGTGAAAAATACGATAAAAACCCAAAAAATACTGAAAATTAGGAGGTACCGTTTTATGGGGGCTACAAGAAAAAGTGGACCTATATTTATAATTTTTTGTGGATACATTTACTACAAATTAGCTTGAAAAAAGCGCTCAAGAACCCCAAAATACCGAAAATTGGGGGGTACCCTTATATGGGAGCTATGCCTAAACGTGGACCGATATATCCCATTTTCGAACTTGGCCTGCCTACAGACAAAAGACAACCCTATGCAAAATTTCAGCACCCTATCTCAATTCCTTCAGAAGATAGCGTGATTACAACAGACGGACGGACATGGCTAAATTTTCTTAGATTTTACCCTGATCAAGAATATATATACTTTATAGGGTCGGAAATGAATATTTCGATGAGTTACAAACGGAATGACAAAATTAATATACCCTCCATACTATGGTGGAGGGTATAAAAAGTACTGGAACAGACCATTTGTTGGCGAAGGTTTGCGTACGACGTCGCTTGAGTCTTGGCAGAACGACAATTAACAAGCGAATTTTATGAAGGCTGGAGTCTTGGAGGCTTCCCACTGTTCTTTTGAATCTCTCTTTTATTATTTTTTTTTCGTTTTTCCATATATAGTTCCTTTGCTCCAAATAGTTCCTTTGCTCCAAATAGTTCCTTTGCTCCATATAGTTCCTTTGCTCTTTATAGTTCCTTTGCTCCATACAGTTCCTTTGCTTCAAATAGTTCAAAAAAGGAACTGGATCAGAGAAAGGAATTATATTAATTAAAGAACTGGAACTAGTTCCGTTCGTTCCTTTCTCGGAATAGTTCCAATGAACTAGTTCGTTCCGGAACTACCCAACTATAGTATTTTGTTTTTTTTTTTGGCGTTTCGTGTTTACTTCTTCTGAATAAAATTTCCAAAACACATACTAAAAATACATCTTTGGATAAAATGAGTACCAAACAAGAAATGGAAGTCTCATCTACTGTCCACAATTCCATCTCCTGGATTAACTGGTGTCGACTTTGTGCCAAACCAGGAGAAGATAATCAAAGCATTTTTGCCAAGTCTGATACGGGACAAACTTCTCTGTTGGCTACATCTATAGGGAAATACTTCTGGGTTAATGTAAGTTTGGTTTTCACTTTTAAACATGACCCCATTTATGATCTCTCCATTTGTCCAGATTAAGGCCGAAGACGAAATATCGACAAGTTTATGTAAAGAGTGTCGGAAGTTAATAGATGATCTGAGCAGTTTCACAGACCGTGTCAATAAAGTTCAAACTCTTTATTGTTTACTACAAAACCTAAAACCTACTGCAGATGCTGATGCTAATAAACTAAGATTGCAAGTCGGCTTACGAGATGGTTGGGAGCACATAATAAAAGACCAACCAATTGCGATTAAACCCAGTTGTTCTCATCAGGAAGTTCAAACAGATCTAGTTATTTTCTTTAATACTAGTAGTAGCTCGGAAGTTCGGGAAATGTCTTTGGATGGCATTCGAAAGAATAGTGAAAAGCTTCCCATGAGTGACGAAAAGCCAGTTCATGGTAAAAATAATATTGATCCTATAGAAAATGCTGTTGAAAAAACTGGACAGTCTATTAAAAATATTAATCATAAACCGAGTATGAAAGATGTGATAACATCCAAAAGGAAGTCGACGCAGCACAATAGGAATGTCTCCGAAAGTATTAATAGTAATGAAGTTATTATTGAAGTGGACACTGAACAGGAGGTTGAACAAAACTTTGAATATCTTATACAAAATAATGATGACCTAATTGAGGTGGACGAAGGTCAGTTCCGATATAAAATTATTAAAAACAAAACTATTGCCAGCCAAGAGGATGAACATGAGGTAGAGGACAGCGATTTATTTAAAGAGCTAAAATTTAAATCGGACGAAAATGGAGAATATGTGGAAAAGACTTTGGAAGATGTACCTAATGAGAGCAGTATAAAATACAGTAATGTACAATTAGAAGAAGATGATAGCCAGTCCGAAGAAATGGAGGAAGATTATGTGGTTATGGAAGAGGAAGAAGATTATGAGGAGGAGTATGGAGAAATGACTGAAACGTCGACAAAAGGCGAGGATGAACCTTCTACCAAGAATGCATTTGAATTAATAATGTCACAAAAGAAAGCAGGCAGACCCCACAAAAAATCGGGACAAAGGACATCATCTGTATATCGCTACGAGTGCGATGAATGTAAGCGAAAATATAAAAATCCAAATGTGTACCGGAAACACATGCGGTGTGCACATAATGTGATCATAGAAAGCATGCCCGACTTCGAATGCCCGGTATGTAAAAAAGATTGCTCCACAGAAAGTCGTCTCAAGCTGCACATGAGACAGCATTTACCCGAAGAAGAAAAATTAGTAATTCCCTGCCCATATTGTGATCGTAAGTTTGGACAAGTCGGCGCTATGCGGCAGCATGTAAAAGGAATACATCAAGAACTAAAACCTTACATTTGCGATCAGTGTGGTCGTGCTTGTAAAACGTTGGCCGCGCTCAACGAGCACCAATTGGTGCATACCGATGAGTGTCCCTTTGAGTGTAATGTGTGTAAAAAGCGTTTCAAAAACAAACCCAGGCTAAAGGCTCATATGGATACGCACAACGAGTCTGCCTACCAATGCCAAGACTGTGGGTTGACACTAAATACAAAAAGGACATTGTTACAGCATCGTTTGGTTCACAGTAATGTTAAACGATTCCAGTGTGAATTCTGCGACGCTGCATTCAAAAGATCTAAATCTCTTAAAAATCATTTAATAATTCACTCGGGTTTAAAGCCATACAAATGCCAATTTTGTGACAGAACGTTCTCCAATGGTGCCAACTGTAGATCTCATAAGAGGAGAGTACATCCAAAAGAGTTGGCAGAGGAAGAAGCTAGGGGCAAAAAAAATGACCCAGTCCCCATACCCAAACTGGAGGACCTAAAAGCAGCGTATGTTCTCTGCAATTATGTTGTTACTTATAACAGTAATACATTTTTTGTTATATTTTCTTTCAGTAAAACCGCTGTTGCCCAGCCTAGAAAGATAAAACGTCAAAACTTTTCCCGAAGTCTTCCCAAGGTTATAAACCAACACAACAGATCTGGAGATGATACCGATGACACTGCTATGGATACATATGAAATGTCTGACATACATTACGAAATAAAGGGTCAAATGTGTAATGAAGGGATGGTTGACAACCAAGATGATGATGAGGAATGTGAAGAAACAGTCATATATGAAATTATAGATGAAATATAATTAACGACATCATAATTATAGTCGCACATCATTTTTACATACGCAAAATGTATGAACAAGCCTTTATTGTATACCATAGCTTTCTAAATAAAAAAGTTGTATGAATCTTTTTAATTTTTCTGCTTTAATAATGGCGTACTAGCCATTGACCTCATTCGATAAAAATGTCTATTGTACTTATTTCGTAGGTCACTGAATAAAAATGTTTATTATTATAATTGTACTATGCGAAGCAAACCCAACTGAAAATATTTTCAACCCCACTAAAAGTCCGTGTCTTGTTATTTGTAAAAATATTTGTTTTATTTTTCATCATCCATCGTCAGGTTCATTAATCAGTTTAAATATTTTCTCTTGAATTTATCGATTTTATCCATAACCGATACAGTCAAATCATTGATGACATCTTCCCGGTTTCTAGGTAGATTGTGTTCATCGATACTTCTTCGTGCGACGTAATGATTGGGTAAATTTACCTAAATTTAAAGTTTTCATAGTTATACGCTCTGATTGATTTTAGGATATATGTACATATATACAAACGTTATCAATCTTACCTTGTGTCTTGCGATCGATTTTAAAATTAGCCATAGGACGTAGAAACTGAACCAAACAGTGAAGTACAGTGGAATGTACCACAGTTTACGGCCTATGTAGAAGTAACTGTACTTTTTAACACGTGGTTCTGGAGGAGGTTCTGGTGGTGGAGCCTCTGTAGTTGTTGTGGGCGGTTCTACGTGATGATGATGGTGGTCATGATGATCGTCGTAAATTATTTCTGGATAATGTGGATATACCGGAAATGAAGGGAATGAGTGATGATAGGGAAAATAATGATCATGATCGTGCTGATGATCGAATATAATATCGGGATGATGATGATCATGGTCCATATCAGATGTATGGTCATGATCATGGTCCATATCTGCAGAATGATCATGGTCCATATCTGTTGGTGCATGATCGTCCATATCATGTGGGGGATGTTCATTTTGGGCCTCAGGGTGTGCTTTTAACCATTCTGGTGGAGGAGTTGGATATTCCTTTTCAGTGTCGTATTCATGGTCATCATGATGATGCCCGTCACTGGAATCTGCTGCAAAATTAAAAAAAAATTATTAAAAATCATTTCCCAAGTTTCTTGAAAGAAATCTCTTAAAAATGATGGACAAGCAAATGGTCCTGAAGGAACATTGTCATGTTTACTAATAAACATGTTAGTACTTAAATGCAAAATTTGATTCATAATGTTTTTTGTTTGAGAAAAATTTGTAACCAGCTGTTAGCTCAAACACGAAATTCAACATAACAATTACACTTACCATCTTTCATTTTCATTTGATCCATTGTATCCCCGGAGTTATTGTCACCACCCATCGCACTAGCTGGTAAAACTCCAATTGAATCATCGCCGGTTTCTGTGTCACTATCACTGTTGTCCTTTTGGTCTTTTGTATCCCCATCACTATCACCCTTGCCACTATCATTGTCATAATTAATGGACGGCAAGTAGCCTACATTTAGAGGTCCCTGATATTTGTACCCCGAATCGTCGATGCCTGATGCGGGTGGTGCATATGAATTTACAACATTGCTCGGCATTGCTAACTTATTGTCCTTTGATGAAGGCAACGGATAGTTGATGTTGTTTGGTGGAAAGGAGTACAAGTTTGCGGGTGGAACGTATGTATTTACCACATTCGAGGAGGCGGCCGTTTTGCCAGCATTAGTATAGGTGGGAGAATGATTGTGATGGTCATGATTGTGATTATGAGCCGATTTTATTTGATGAGATGCCACAGCTTCACTGGGTGTAAATCTATCTTTAATAGGTCCTGCAAACATATAACAAAAATTACAATAATTCAATATCTCGGTTATTAAATTCTAAGTTCAACCTTTGTTGGCATAATTTGCATTTTAATCACTTACCTCGACCGCGTAGCTTATCAATTTCTGCTCGACTTGGCGGCTTTCGCTGATATGCAACTGGGGGATAGACCACTTGTTTGCCAACATTCGTTGTCGCTGAAGAGTATAATGATGTTGGCATGGGTATGGTCTTACTATTGTCACTGCTGTACACGGGACGTGGTGCATTTTTGATTAATGGCGTGATAAGTTGACCAAAGGGATAACCACTACGATAATCGACAGCACGACCAGTAGCAATATTTTGTTGTTCTTGCTCCATGGCTGCACTATTGTTGCTGTTATCATTTCGTTGCTGCTGAATATTTATGGGATTTTGTGTAACCACTTGTGTACCGTCGTCCTCATTTTGGTGGGTGTTGGTGTTTGTGTTGGGTGTCTGGTAAAGAGCAGCCTCATTAGGTGATGGTGTAATATATAGGAGTGCTTGTCCCTTATCACCATCATCTCGATTTGTTTGTTCATTTGATTGTGACAGCGGATTATATTGTCGCCGGTCAACCAGGCCATCAGACACCAAGTCAGATGAATCAATACCTAAGGAGGCAGAGGGTGAGGCGCTTGGAGTGACTGTTTCGGTAGAGTTGAAACTATAGTTGGCAAATACAAGAGAAAATATAAAATGTAATATACTAAGTAGTTGTATAGATTTGTAAATTTTAAACACATATCTATAGATTCTTGGCATATTTAAAAGAGCAGTTCATTTGTTTCATTACATCGTTTTCAGATTTTTTTCAAAATATTTCTGTTGTAATTTTTTTATGAATTTCATCTCAAAAAGGTTTACTATTTTTTATTTTCTTTGTATAATTTTATAAATTTAAAATGTTCAAAATAGTCCATTTGCTCAAAAGTGTCACTTAAGATGTGTAAAATCATTTTAGGTAGTTTAAAGAATTTAGCCAGATATTCCTAAATATGTTGTTATTCTGAAACAAAACACGGGTTTAATTTAACCGTCAGTTGTTCCCAATTAATTTGTCTACTCTCTCATATGTTCACAAAAAGGATTGGACTTAAAATGTACCTCTTGGGGAAAACCAAGTCAAAATTTAACGCTTTATAAATTTTTGGTCCATCTCCACTGTGCTCGCCATTGCCACTGGTCGAGACTTGTGTGTAGGCATGACACCGTTGGATATGTCCATATAGCAATATTGTACTTATAAGCAGTATTCCGACTGCGTTTCGTATGCACATTTTTATAGTTATAATTCAAATTTGTTTTTAGTTTATATGATTTTTCGATTTTATTGTTATTTTATTTGGCACAAATTCTCTTCCGTTTCCGTTAGGCTAGCATTGCCCTCCTAGTACTGGCAAGCTTGAGCGTATCAGTTATCAGCACGTTTGTACTTCACTCGAGGTTATTTTCAACTGGATTATAATCTCCAAACTAAAATCACTGCGAAGGAAAGGTTTTATTTTTATTCTCCCATAGAGTGATGATGTCTGATTTGTCGTGTACTATTCATCAATTGGCGGTAGTCTAAATTTTCTTTATGTATTACCAATGGTAACTGCAGCAACTGCTCCCATTTTGATAGTAAACCTCCACATATGGGGGACGGTGGTGTGTGTGTGGTTCTTATATGCTATTTATCAATGAATCTGTTTTGACGGCATTTTCGTTAGCTTCAAAAATGTGGGTATCCATAACTAGTTCACTTTCTTTCTTTCACACCGGTGCTAATGAGTCAATATCGTTTTTCATGAGAGTGGTGCGTCGAAGCTCTGGACGTAGATCAGTGCCTAACGGGAAATTGTAAACAACAATGTATTGAATATTATTTCAAGTGATCTAATTACATATATCTCAATTATTTTGTTCTTGTTATACGCGGTTAGTATCCACAAGTATTGTTGTATGAGGATAAATTGAAAATGTTATGTGAAGAAGTATCTCTTTAAAATGTCATATTTTCAAATAAGTCAATTCCTTTGAAAGCGGCAGCAATTGAAATATGTCTTATCGGGTGGTACATTTATATATTTTGGGGTATATAACTAAATTTGCTTTTACTGGATACTATAACTAATTACTGGTCTATGTTTCATTATGATCCCCACACAACATATGCTAAAGCGTATTTACTTTTTCAAGACTTTTATTTTTATTTTGAAATGATCCGCAAAAAGATTCTAATCGATCCAATTCCTTAATAGATATGTGGTTATAAGCTGTTTTATTTTCTTGAGATGGATGGCGTTTCATATAAGAATAGAAAATAATAAAAAAAAACAATTCAAATTTTCAGCTGGTACAAACACAATATTTTGTAGTGGATCCTATCTTTTAGTCTAATTATAAACATATCTATTCCGGTTTAAGCAAACAGAAAAATATACGAAATATTTGTTATTTATTTGCGGATTATTTTGGCAATGTTAGTATTGACCAACTTCAACAAAAAAATTACATGTGTAATTGCATTCGGCTATAACACGTAACTACTCTCGATGTCATACTTGTTGGAGAAAACAATTAAATTGTAAATGAAACCACACACCGAAATAAATACTATGTGTGTGTGCGTGTGTGGCATCAGTGAAGCTGTTATAAATAAATATTTAATAAATACTGCACTTGTAAACATACGAATGAGCCTAATGAATGTATAAATATAAAATTTTCATTAAATAATTGGAATAACATACAACTATTGTATTTTTTGTGGACGCAAGATGAGAATATTTATAATAAAAAAATTGCGCGACAAATTACACTTTTACAAGCACACAACATTGTTCAAACATTCAGACATAAATTAATGTTCGAACAACATCATATATAGAACAACTTTCAGATTACATATAAGAAATCTTATGTGAAATCAGTGATCTCACAAACTTCGTATTAGTTACTGAAATTACATACTCAAATTCGACAAGTATAATAATTCAATAACATTTTACAAAACTTATAAGATTTCCTTCAATTGTATAACTAGTAAAAGTGCTAAATGATCTACTTTTTGCCAGGTATAAATTTTATACAATAAATCGTTGAACTGAAAAAGAAAGTTTTATAATTCTTTTATGACCTACATACGTAAGACACGATCATGACACAGAATAATAGAGGATGCTAATTACTTTGGTCAATAAACAAAATGCTTAATGGAGAAAATACTGGAAAATTATTTGTGTAGAATACTTTGCAAGTAGCACAGGAAAAGGGACAAATTCGAAGGTATTTAAATTAAAGAGATATAACATATTCTTTTATACTTTATTGCTAATAGTTGGCTTTGGATAACCAATTTTTCATTCAGAAATCGTGATTGACGCAGACAATTCAACTAAAGATACAACAACCACTTTTACTACATACGTCTAAAATAATACCATTTCGTTTTCTCCATTTGAGTTCTACACATTTCATTAGTGTGTATCAAAAAGTGATTAACACATTTCGAAATGTTTCTGACTGAAAAGTAAGCACGCGTCATATATGTATGCCATATAAATGAAACCCATAGTAATTATTACTATGGGTTTCATGATAAAGCTTCATCAATGTAAAAAATAGTTGATCGCATCGATGTAACATTAACCTGGTGTTTACAAACGATCTTTTGGGTAGACAATATCAAAGATATAAATCATTTTAATCAATACATTTATATATTAGTCAATTGTCAATTCTAATCTTGAATTTTCCATTGACAGTAAAACTGGACAAGTTACGACATTTAATAGCAAAATATTCAAAATGGACCGACATGGATTGAACATTAAATAAATTGAAATATTTTATAATTCTATTGTAATTTCAGAATTATTTTTCAAATTGTCTGTCACAAAGACAGTTTTTAATTCATTGGTAAATAATGCAAGAACTCAATTGTCTTCGATTGCACTGTCGCTAGTTAAAGTAAAGGTAAAAGGTAAAGATATACCGGAAGAAATGTATTACAAATGTTAAAAATAGTAATTATGTGTTACAGTAAAAAATCAACCGTCTCCCCGACGGGGAATTGAACCCCGGTCTCCCGCGTGACAGGCGGGGATACTAACCACTATACTATCGAGGATTGTTACCAACGACTCTCAGGATTAGGAAACATAAACTAAAGAATAACAATCGTACACTAAAAGTTAGAACGTCGAGATTTGAAATATATAGTCGAAATCCCGTATAACGAAGGTTAAGGGATCGACTATACTCCAGGATGTAAGCAATTACTCCTTTAAATAACACATTTGTAAAATATTGAATATCTCCCCGACGGGGAATTGAACCCCGGTCTCCCGCGTGACAGGCGGGGATACTGACCACTATACTATCGAGGATGTGTGAAGTAATTCGCCAATATTGATACATATAACATAAATAATAATAGTTTAATATTAGTTGGTAATTCTAAGTTCCAGACTGGTCATAATATCATTGAAACCCCCATATCAATTTCAAATTAATTGATACATATTGTTGTAAATAAATGCGAATACAATACAGGTAGTATTTACTTTCATTACAAATTGCCAAATGCATAAATAATATCTATTAATAAATATTATTTATATTTAGCAGCTGTCAGATTTCACAAATTATTTAAATCATCGAATTAAACAATAAAATAGAACTCCGAAACTTGCAAATATGTATGTATGTACGTCCAAAAGGTATGAGTGATAACATACGACCTTATAATGCTACATAATTTACTCCCTCAGTCCTAATGTGGGATGTATACATTGGTACCAATAAAAATATGCCCAATCATATATTGGCTATAGACTCCTAGTGAATTCGGACTTCAGACCCCAAGTGACATTGAATCAAGATCCATTCCGACCTATTATTATACTTATATTGGTACCTTACATACAAATTGTCAAAACTTTAATTAGTTTTTATACCCTACACAACTATGTTGTGACGTTAAATATTGATCCTGAAACGCCGTTAAATATTGATCCTAGACCCACCATTTAGTATATAGTCATATCTCGACTAGTTGGGTCAATCTAGACATGGGTGTGTGCCGGTCTGTCCATTATAATTTGTAAACATGCCACATGTACAAATTTTGCATGAAGGATCATGTAGTTCTGGCCAAGGAAGATCCATATTGTTTCTGGTTATGATCGGTTAATATTTAGAGAATAAAATACTTTATTTTTGTCTATCTTCTGATCGGTTTAGAGACTAAAATTATATTAAATTATATACATCCCGAAGGACATATATCGGAGGAGAGGTTGACCAATAAATTGATACTAATTTTAGTTCCGATATGGGAGTTATACTTACAGGTGGCAACATATTCTGATATTATTTAGCAAACCATCACCAAACTAGAGGGCGGAAACGTAGCGTTCCGCGTAAAGGACGACACCTATTGTTTTCGGTATTGATCAGATGATATATAGGGGATGAAATGGACCGCAAAAAATAATTTTGCCAGGTTTTCTAATCCGTTTAGAGGACAGGGAAGGGGATTTGGCCTACTATTGAATGGCTTCTTGATCGGTCAATATTTAGGAGATTGCAAATATCGAAAATTGTCCAGGGTCGGAATATAGATCCGCAGAAATTTAGACTCGTGGTAGTTGTGAAAGGTCATGGGTTTATGGTTATGAACATTAAAGCTAAAATTTGCATCCCATCATCCTAATTTAAGCTGTCGTATGAGCATGAAGAGGTTTTTCACCAAATGGTAAATAAATAATATTAAATAGGCGTTATGCACAGTTACGAAAACTGAATTGGAAATTGTTCTTGAATGACTGCTTAATTACATTTTATATAATAATTCATATTAATAAAAAATATTCATCCATGTAAAATTAGTACGTATGCAAACCTTAACATATGAAACTGAACTAAATGAACTGTAAATAATTGTTACTCAACAAAAACGAACAATGTTTAAAATAATAATAATTCATAGTTTATGATAAATCGAATATATTATATATGTTTATGTAAATATGTTTTAATTACATATAACAGTAAATATTTACATATGTATTTTCATTCTTATGAAATAATTATGGTAGAAAGCTTATGGAGAATCTTGGAATGGGATAAGTCACAATAACCATTTAGCGTAATGCACAGCAAAAACAGATGCGCGTCTCCTTTAGACCCTGGGGAACCTAAAGAAGCCTCAAACCAATCACTCCCCGACGGGGAATTGAACCCCGGTCTCCCGCGTGACAGGCGGGGATACTAACCACTATACTATCGA